GCAGGAATGAAGAGCTTAACAGCTAACATGACAGCTCGCTCTTGGCATTGATGCAAACAGCTAAAATACCCAAGCAGAAGTGAATGCCTGACCTTAATTTCAGCCCTGAGCTCAGAGAGTTGTGCTTCAGCCATCTGACTGGCTAGGTCCGTCAGTCTCTTCAGCTCCTCAGCTTTCTTCTGCCGAGCAGTCAGGATTTCCACTGCCAAATACCAACAGTCAATAATTAATGCTGGGAAGGTAAATTGCTCGGTAATTCATTACTCCCTGAGCATGAACACTACATCACATGTGAGACAAACACACATCTCAGACCCCCAACTTCAACCAGACTTCCAATATGTTGCTTGCACAGATTAAGTCAATCAGCGTTTTTAACTGCCTGATGTTGAAAAAGATCTGGAAATGGGGTAGCAATCAGAAAGTCAAAGTTAAACCAATCCTTCAACAATTAGACAAACAGGGACAGAAACATGTTGTTTTGAGCATTCCAGTGCTATTTATGTTAAGCACAATTATCAGGGAGCCTTCCATGGAGACAGGGAAAGAAGCATTACATCGAGCCAACAGCCTATTTCTGAAGGCACACTAGGTTTCGTTTACACAGGGACCTATCAGTTTCTCTGAAAAAAATCTGTTCATATATAGTTTACATTAGACCACTGGCATTGCAATTTTGCTTTCAAGTACAGAATATACACAGTTGCCATTTCTACAGCAAAGCAGTATTAAAAAGCCCAACAGTCTTTATGAAAAAATACTAAATATTCACTACTACCCGTCTCGTATCTTTTATAAAAGGAAGGGGTGAACATTCTTATAGGAAAAGATTAACCATGAACCACAAGGCAACGGTCCACTTACGTGCAGGATAATAAGCCATTACAATTTTGGTGGAAAATTAAATATATGCAAACTCTGTTACCTACATGGTGACTCAACATGAAAACAACAACTGAATAATCAGCTGGTGGGATCAGCACTTATGTCAGAGAGGAAGCACAGCACCTAAATGTGTAAGAGTAACAATCGTGTCTTTTGTCTAGAGCTTATGCCTACAGGCAGGGTGAGTGGGGTTGCTGGAAACCACACTAAAGCCACAGAGGCCATTACCGCTCTGGAGACTCTGGCTTCTTTGCCTTCTTTTGGCCACAGATTTCCAAAGCAGACTTGGCAAGTCACCTAGCCAGCTCATACTTTGCAATGCCATTTTTCAGGTGAGAATTAGTATTTCACAGAGAGTTTGCTTCTCAACCCACTATTTATTTAATCAGATGGCACCTTCTCTTTTGCAAGTATCAGAATAGTTTGGGGTGGAAGGGACCTTTAAAGGTCATCCAGTCCAACCCCCTGCAGTGAGCCCCCCTTCAACTCGAGCAGGTTGCTCAGATCCCCATCCAACCTGACCTTGAGTGTTTCCAGGGATGGGGCATCTACCACCTCCCTGGGCAACCTGTTGCAGCATTACACCAAGATCAGCATGGTCCAGCAGGCACAGGGAGACAGCGCTGCGGCTGCACAGCTGCGTGGGAGCGACCAAACCATACGGCAGAGGAGCGAGTGTCTGTCACGCAGGGCAGGCAGAGGCTGGCTACACTTCTTTTGCCTTGTGGGTAAATCTGTGTCTACGTGACTATTTATGCTAAGAACAAGTGTGTGTGTCTCTCTCTAGCTGATCTTTTAATTTCATTTTTGTGGAATATAGTCTACAAGTCTGAGCAACTTTTAGCAGATTAAATGAACAGTTTACTAGCTGTTTCATTTTGTGCAAAAGTTCTGCTTTATTGCTTATTCTAGGTAATGGTAATAGTGTTTCTCCCCAAGGTAGGCATCCCTTTTGCTGAAGTGACTCCCAAACCATATGATCTCACCTCATGCTGACACTTCCCTCCACATGAGATGCCAGCCAAATACACATTTAAAAAACAACCCTGACATTATCATATTTGGAAATTTTCCCAGTATTGACAGTAAGAGTAAGATTACCCACTGTAAAATAGTCCTCCAATGCAGCAGAGAGATGTGGAAATAAATAATAATGTAAATCTTGGTTAGCATGTTACAGTCCTGTAACAACTTTCTGCCTAAAGTTTGGAAGGCACTTCACAAGCCTACACCAGCCTTGAGAGACAGCAGAAACTGCGCTGTTAAAGACAGGTCATCCAATGTCACCTGTGGAGACGGCATGAAAGCAGGGAAACAGAACCTGCCGTGTACAAATGCAGCACTTTGCATGCCCATCAGGTTGACACAAATGACATCCATACCTGGCCAAGGCTAATGAAGGGGCCCTATGATACCATCAGCCCTGGATGGCAGATTTCTGAAATGTGTTTTTGTTTATGCAGTTAGGGCTTAGAACCATGTCTGCTGATACCAACGGGAATTTTACCATTGGTTTTCCTGGGAGAGAGTGCATGCTCTGTAGCTGATTATGGCTACCTGATCTCTGCAGGTAACCAAAAAGCTGCTGTTTCCATCTACAACTCCTCCCCAAAATAACACAGAACTCCAAATCCACATCTATTTCACATTAGTACTAGGAAAGTTAGCATATAAAATTCCAAATTAATGCCAATGTTTGCTGTAACAACTCATACCTTTTAGTTTCCCCACATACACAACTGCAAGAGACTTAGCTAGCAAAAGGATTTAAATTATTTTTTAATAAAAATTTAACTAGCATGCATTTATGAACTGAGAGTTCTAAATGCAAACAAAACATTCAAAAATATTACATGTATTCCTGACCCTCCTTGGAAGGACCTTAAATTCACAAATCAGTAAAAGCATTGTATGCATATACAGCAGTGATATTTTCATCTGCCAGGCAAAGCATAATTCTAAGACTACTTTGCCTATTCTTCAGTTTCTTGCTTAGTGCTCTCTGTTGAAACAGATCTCCTTGATTACTGGGTCATGAACACCATATGTCGATGTGGTATAAGACAGATAATTGTGGTATCCAAATTCATGGCTCATCTTGCTTCCCCGCCCCCCAACCACGGTATATATATACACCTTACCCATGCAAAAAACAGAGGCGACATGAAAGATCAACTGGAATCAGATCAACTCCCACGGATTATTAAGAAAACAGATTCCACTAAACAGCTTAGGGGTGTTTTTTTGTTTGTTTCTTCTAATTCATAAGCTTGATCACTACCCCTCAGAACCATGCAAGACCACACAATAACCTACTCCCCCTAATTTCCACTGTGCTATCTCATGTAATGTAATATAAGCAAGCAAACAGTGATTAAGACATGGAAATGAAGTCATTGACAAGCCATAGGAAAAAAGGAAAAAAAAAAAAAGTGATCAAAAGCTCTGACAAGTAAGCAGAAGGAATAAATCACTTATATGTAACTTCATATGAACTTTTGGTTTACATTAATTCCATAATATTGAAATTCTGATGCACCATCCTTATAGATAGAAACTATACAGAAACTCTGCTGGAACATCAAAGACTTGTTTGATTGTATACATATACAATGAAAGATGATGGAATGCTGCTAACAAAATTTATGTGCTGTGCAGTTTTCTGCCAAACAAAACATCTTTCCATGACTATTCCAAAAGTTTCCTCTGTTGTTTTTTTTTTACTTACTGGCTTCTTCTTTAACTTTATCAATTTCTGCCATTAACGACACTTCTTTGTCTACGATGCTAAAAAAGGAAAAAAAGAAAGAAAAACACCACAATTTAATCCATGCTAGAGCTCCATCAACATCAAAAGCTGTAACTACACAAAAACTTCAGACCTTAGTTATGGGCAGTTGTGAAATTAGTAAGACTTAAAAAATGGAAGCTGAAGAGACATCCAGGTAAATGGACTACAAAAAAGTTAGTGATAATCAGTGTATGTGGATTTACACAATCAACTTATCAGCCTGACCATGTGTCTGCACAGATGTGGGAGTCACTCTGATTTACCTCTTCAGCACTGCCTGAGCACAGCAGTCCTTAAATGACTTAACAGTCTCTTTCCTAATTAGGCCAGACATACCATTGCTGCTACCCAGGTTAATACCGCTTAGCTCTCAGTGCAATATTAAGAATACAACAGAAATAAAGATGTGTGGAAAGAGGACCTTTTCTTCCTGTAACAGAGGTATGCTTGCAAAATATGCCAGGGTAAACAAGAAAATGGTTTGTGATGTAATCTCCATAGCAGAGGTCAGCTTCCTTGCCCTCCATTCTCTCCAGGACCAGGAAGGTGCGGTTCCGGGGCTACCCGGCCTTCCTATAGGTCTCGGGTGCCTCTCCCTTCACAAATCTCTGATGCGCAATCCCTGACGGTGCTTCTAAGCTGCCAAAACGCAAACTGATCGGGTGGGTCTACCGAGAGCAGACCAGGCGAGTCTGCTAAATGGTTCCTATCATGAACCCAGCGACACTGCTCAGTGAAGTAACACCACTGCAGAATGCTCTCCAGTGGACAGTGCTCTGGTGTGCCACTCCATTTTCCCGTCGCTAGAGTATTCCTAGTCATGTCTAACAAACACCCCCAATGTTTATGTTTGCAGAAGTGAGCAAACTCAAGCAGCCGGGGGGTAAATCACAAAAAGTAGGTCAAACTCCAGGAGTAAATCCAGGCACATGCACCAGGGAAGAGTGAAGTTTTCAACCCTTTCGCTAAAATCATCCTTAAATGTAAGTGAAGATGCTGAGTTGTATGTGAACTAATTCCATCAGAAGGAAAACGTGACAAAATTAACTCAAAACATTTGCCCAGAAGGTCCTTAGCAGGAAGGTGCTACGTAGTTCAGCAGTCAGCAGTCAAAGACGACTTACAGAAGAGAGAAGGACTAAGGGTTGTTAACAAAAACAGAAAGACTAGGAGCGGGCAGCGTGGGGAACACATGGCAGATACACAGCTGACTCAGCCAGAACGTGTTCAAGTGCCATGCAGCCTTCCCTGAAATCTTCCCACGGACTAACCACGCTCATACAGGTTTGCAGCAGAGGTTCTGCAGAGCCCTGCCCTCAGGTCTGACCCATCAACCATGCCACCTTTAGAGGAGGAGGGCTACCTCCCTCACACTGTCTCCCCATAGCTATCAAGGGTGGCAGAGGCAGGTTGGCTGATGGCAAGCAATGCAGCAAGACAATAAAATTGCAGCATAACACGTTTTTCTGTTTCATACATCTAAACAAGACTAAAAATATTGTCTTGGCCTGCCAGATCAATTTAGTGTGACCTACACACCAGAGGAAATAAACCAGCAGGGTTTTTTATGGTAGAGCAAATCAGTTAAGAGGCATACTGTTACAGTGAACGGACACACTTGTTCCAGTTGGCCCTCAGTATTCTCCAGGCATAAGCATTAAGCCTGGACTCCCAGACAGGCAGGTAATGATTCCAGTTTGCTAATCTAAATAGCAATAGCTTCTCAGAATTAATCTGTTTTCAATTAGCTTTTGTAACTACATGTTACAATAAAATTCCTTGGCTTTCACAGCAGGTGGCTGAAATAAGGTCTGCAAGTTCTCACCTGTTTCTACCCTCCACAAAAAAGAAGATATTTGAATGGTCTTTAATATCTTCCCCTAAATTTAAAAAGTCTGCACATTTTTGCTTTTGCTGTCTCTGTTACAGAAGTGCCTCCCCAACGTACTACACAGGTTAGATAAAGAAGCTTTTGGCTGGAAGAAATATTCAAGCAACAAGCTCACAACAGCAAAGCTCATTAGAACTGTGTTTTGGCCCAGGTCATTCTGTGACTGTCCTCTCCCCACTCCAACAACAGATCCTTGCTAAACTGCTTGGCTCCTAACATTTTATTTTGATGCCAGATAAATGCACTTTTAATACCAGAATGAGAACAAGGCCATAGCAGTCCTATACTTACCATAATTTAGTCAGATCTCATCTGTTACTAGACGGTTTTGCACTCCTAATGTTTTAGTATGATCTCTGATGAACATTTCAGGAATGCATTTGGATGTTGTAGTAGTAGAGGCCAGGACTCTGATAAATTTGGTGGAGAACAACCAACTGACTATTTCTCTTGTAGCTACAAACTAATACTGGGAAAACTAAAGACTAAAACAAGACCAAAAGTGCCTTTGTAAATAAGAGACTAGTTAACGTGGTAAACTAAGTCTTTTTAATGGACAGGCCTTCACGGGGCTGCCATACTAGCTTATACCAGCTGAGGACCTGAACTCACTCTCTCAACAAAAGGAAAGGAGCATGCTAATTGTCATCTGGAGGTGTGCAGCCACATTTCTCAGCTTAGAAATCACCACTACCATACGTCATGGAGTAAAGGGGGAAGTCAGCGTTTCTTCAGCCATGTCATAGGCCAACCAGCACTAGGAAACGCTACGATTCTTCTTAGATCATGTAAGGGTCAGTTATTAAGGAAACGGAGCAGGAATCAATTGGATTCCTTTCTAGTCACCTAGAGCACTTCAGTGCAAAACTGACCAGCTCCTCCTCCTTCAAGGACCTGGCAAGTTAGAAACAAACGAAAGTGACAGAGAAAGCTGGAAATCTGCATTGGGGAAAAAAAAAAGATGAAAGGCAACAAATACAAAAAGAAAACTAAATTCTAACAAATACAGAAGGAAAAAGGAGAACACCACCATGGAAAAATCAATGGATCAAATCTTATCTCGTATTCCTGCTAGGTTCTCGCTGTTCACATACAGCCTCAGAGAGCCACTTAAGCTGAACTGCTTCTTAACAGAAGAGACATTTAATTGGTTTTGTAATTTCTGGAATGATGCCCTACTCGGGCTCTATAGGATGACCCCGATCAGACCACACTGCTAGCATTACTGAGAACTGCTCAAAGCTCAGCTCAGAGACACTTCCTGGGAATGCATTTTCTTTCAATGCTCCTTAGTGCCCACTCGATACCAAACCGCTATATCAAGCCGGCACACTCCAGTGCACAGCCTGCAGCCACCGGGAGGCTGTGGAGAACTGGATACTGGGTGCTACAGGAGCTCTCCACACACGCATCAACAGATTTGAGCTCTAGCAGAACAAGGAACAGAATGCAGTTCACATCTATAGACAGCTCAGGGAAAACCCTCAGCTAATTTCTCCTCTAATTATGCTGCTCCTCTTGGGTCTCCTGTAGATGTTAGGAACCAGGTTTAAAATCATAAACATCCTCCTTTAGCTGAGGTTCTGGAGAGGTCACACCCGTGTTGTTTTTTTCTGATTACTCCCACCATTAACATTCTATCAGGCTTCAGCCATCCCTTCTCCTTCCCTCCAACATCAGCACTGGAGTATATTCCATATTGTGGATGTTCACTGAGGCTCCTGTGACAAACACACAACTTGGCACGGCCTCTCAATGTGCCTGAATCCATGCCCTAATCATCAGCCCGTAGGATCCCCTGCTCTAGTAGTATTGTCAGTTCTGATGTAGGCGTTTGGGTTTCTACACTACATCTGTAATATTCACTGGAGCAAATACTGGGACTCAAATCCCCTCTCGCACTGACCAGGCTCAAGAACAGATCTGAATCAAGTGAGTCTTATACTTGACTCACTGATGCTGATGCTGGAGCAAAACCAGAGTAATACTACTACCTCTTTCTTTTCTGTCTCCCTTTCCCACACCTCCCTTCTAAAAGGACCGATTCTGCTCCTACCCCTTACTTTTTCAGGATCAGGGCCTGGGTACCAAACTCTAACTCTCAGCTTCGTATCATTGTTCCCCACAGGTGAACAGTGGTAGTTTGGAGCACAGAATTCCGCACTGCTTGATTTTAATAGCCAGACAAACTTTTGCTCAGGGTGGAGATGATTTTGTTGAAAGAACACAGCAAGGCAGAGGCTTAACATAGAGGACGTGCAAATGGGACCAGGACACAGCCAGGGCTCGTGCTGTAGAGATGTGAGATGCAGCAGCACGGAGAGCAGCTCTCTAGTATTCATTTTACTGAAGTGATTCTGAAGGTAAGAGCATAAATGTCCTATTCCTGGGCAAATGGACAGTACTTGTGCCTTGGCCTTATGCAGGCTGGCAGGAGTGACACTAGAATACAATGACAAAAGAGCTGCAAATGCCAAACTGCAGTGAGCTGCCGGCACAGCAATGATAAGGGTAAATTATGCTGACAGCTGTCTCATTTCACAGTTTCATACTCAGAACAAATTCTGAATTTGTTCTGACATCAGTAGAAACAAATTAATCTTCCTCTAGTTTACTGCATGAAATCAAGTGCTTGCACAGTGAAAAGATATTTTCAGTCAGCTGCAGTACCTCAAAATCCCACTAAAATGATTAAAGTTATTAGTGCCTCTTCAGAAGAGCTGCTTCAGATTGCCAGGCTGGCTGATTTATAGCTTTACTGGTGAGAGTCAGAAGGGTTCAAGATGACCAGAATCTTCTCTTTCCTTCGGCCTCTTTCAGGCATTATGATAAACCTATTGTGCCTGAAGAGACAGGCAAATAAAAAGGCCAAGCTGACAGGGAGGCAAACATGCTGACACAACTCGCAAAGGTGGGCCACAGCTGCATGGCACAGAGGTTACTGTTAAAAGTGTAATTCAGATGAGTCCTTTCAAAACCCTGATAAGCCCCCTACAATGCCAATTTTCTCCTTGAGGTGTTTAATAAGATTCACTCTCCCCTAAACCAGCTTTGTGCAGTTTGAGAACGAACGGTGTTTTGGAGACCGAGGAAGACACAGTCAGC